CTGGAGATGACCCATAATTTCTCTGGCAAGATATTTCACTTCTCTTATTCCTCTGTTGTGATGTGGAACTTATGTGACCTTTTATAATCATCTGACCTACTAATATAGGAGCATATGGACCACATGATAATCCTGGGCCTGAAGGATCCAGGTCATTCAATGCTCGTAAAGTGGCACAGGCCCTATAACAAGATGCTGAGGCCTCACCCAACAAACATTCCCAAATTAGGGGAACAAGCCCAAGGTCACAGGGGTATTACTGATTTCACTCATCCTTCCTGGCATGATTCTCAGCCAGGCTTCCCTATCATGTGGTTTGGTGAGGAAGAAAACTTGGACCAGCGCTGATGATGAGAAGAAGCTGTTTTCTTTCTGGTATAAACCATTTACAATACATTTATTATGACATTAGGCGACAGACGCCCATACCCTAGTTCCCGTGACGTCCAGCCACCATAAAATCTTCTAAGATTCTACAGCCAGACCAATTTTCATCTTCTTTTAAGTTACCCCAGGGCTCCAAGCACAGTTACATTTCTACAGAAAATGTAGCCCTGGCCCTGGCAACATAACACAGTCAACTAAAGTGCAATAGGCCTAATTCATCAAAATGCACCATAGGGCAATTCACGGCTACACGGAAGAACGCAGAGCCTGGGAGCCTCACACAGAAAACCTCACCTCACCCCGGTGAATGCCCTTCCTGCAGTGCAGAGAAAAATCGACTCATAGACCGTAAACACATACGGCCACTGCCACTAGAACCACCTTTCAAAAATGTACGTCAGATCACACCTTACTTTGCTGCTCAAAGGCTCTCCATCCTCCTGAGCCCAGCACCCAAGCTCCTGCACAATCGTGTCCTAACTCACCTTTCTGGCCGCTGGTGGGTTACTCAGTGCACATCACTCGCCCCTGCTTCCTCCTCTAGAGTCAAGCCATTCTCACACCTCAACACTCACTAGTCATCCATGCAACAGAGATGCCAAGCACAAAGATCCTGTCTACAGCACAACAAAGACCACCTGGCTACCCCCTGGATGCTACTCATTCTGTGAGGAATAAAGCAAGAGTTTTGAAGTGTTCTTCCACTAAAAGTGCACATCACAAAGGCATGGGAACGTTCATATTTAAACTAAAGATAAAGGATGACTATTCAGGGGCACCTGGGTGGCTCAGACAGTTGGGCGTCCGACTTCGGCTAGGGTCATGATCCCGCGATTCGTGGGTTCGAGCCTCGCATCGGGCTCTGTGCTGACAGCTAGCTCAGAGCCTGGAGCTTGCTTCAGATTCTGTGTCTCCCTCTCTCTCTGACCCTTCCCTGTTCACGCTGCCTCTCTCTCTCTCAGAAATAAATAAAACATTTAAAAAAAAAAAAAAAGGATGACTATTCAGCTTAATGTACAAGTGTTTTACATTTTTTAATGTTTATTTATTTTAGAGAGATAGAGAAAGAGAGACAGGAAGAACCCAAAAGGAAGAGGGGCAGAGAGAGAGAGGGAGATACAGAATCCAAAACAGACTCCAGGTTCTAAGCCCCAATGCGGGGCTCGAGCCCACGAACTGTGAGATCATAACCTGAGCCAAGGTCGGACGCTCAACAGACTGAGCCACCTCAGCGCCCCAGTGTTTTAAATAGCAAACTCCCTTATGCTTTTGTAAATGGGATTTGATTTGTAAAAATCAGGCTTCCAGACAAAAAATGTTAAGCCTATACCCAGTTCCTGTGGCAGTGACACTTCCCTCCAATATGGTTCACCATATGATATGCTATGACATGTTTAATAAGTTAGCATTTGTCCCCCTGACTCATTCCATGGTTGAACAAGTACATATGCCAATGCGGAAAGACAAAGTAGAAGAGGGAGAAGGAAGAAGAAGGAGAAGCATTTAAAATCTGTTGAGATATTAGGACTGGTGCTGTGCATTCTTATTTCACAGCGATTTTTCAAAACCTGAGAGGTACTCTACCGTGATGCTGGATCTGTGCTGATCTTTTGGCACTGACCCCCTGCCTACTTGTCTTCGCAGGGGTACGAGGTGACGACCACCACCACACGTGCTGCTCTGGCTCAGATGCTGCTTGAAGGATGCTGGGTGTGGCCGCGGAGCACAGCAAGCTGACTGGCTCTCACAGGTCAAGGTCAAGACCCTGGGCTTTTATCATTAGTATTTGGTAGACAGCCAGCCAAAAATGCATGTCTTGGGAGATGGAGGAGGCCGTGGGTTTTTTTGTTGGTTTTTTTTTTTTTAACATTTATTTATTTTTGAAAGATAGAGAAAGACAGAGCACGAATGGGGGAAGAGCAGAGAGAGAGGGAGACAGAATCCAAAGCAGGCTCCAGGCTGTCAACACAGAGCCCAATGCAGGGCTAGAACCCACAGACTATGAGATCACGACCTGAGCCGAAGTCGGATGCTAAACTGACTGAGTCACCCAGGCGCCCCTTAATATCAAGGCACATAAACACGGAAGCACAGCCAAGCAGGAGGTTACAGGAGAAAATACTACTGTATCCAGAGTAAGTATACAGTGTATCTGACAGAGGGGTTTAAATGATCAGGAGATGAATTTGTAGCTAATATTAACACTTCTACAAAATAAAATTTAAACACTTCAACGTCCTTTTCATCATTAACTCATTAAAATAAGTTATAAAATACATGTACACAGTTTTAACAATGCATTATTTTTAGGCATTTGGCCAAATGTGCTAGAAAAGATTATCAGAAGAATAGTACATATCAGTCATTTCAAAAGGCAAGACCACAAAATAGATTAATTAGAGATCAGAATGTTAGTTTTGATCAAAACACTTTGCCTGCTAAATCATACTCAGAGTTGCACATATATACTAAAAATCTTTATCAGCGCTGAGACTACCAAAATTATAGTAACATTCTTGAGAGCACTTACTAGGAATTGGATATATTACCTTATTTAACTCCCAAAACAACTCTGTGAGGTAAAGAAATTAACACCCTCCATTGTACACATGAAAAATGGAAAAACAGAGGGCAAGAAATCTGTTCTGGGTCATACAACTAGTAAATTGTAGAGTTATTTAATTCACTTGAAACCTCACACAGATTACTGAACAATGATAACATTTATACAGGTATGCCGAGGGAAATGTCTTTACACCTATGCAGATATGTTTAAAAGAATCCATTTTGTGTGTGTGGGTCTTGCTCCAAATCTACTTAAAGATCTACTTGTTAGTGGATCTCACTTAAACTGAATCTTAAGTTAAGGAAAAAACCCTGGTTAAAAACAATAATGGAAAAGATACCGTGGTTATTTTCTCTTATAAAATTATTTGTCAGTAGAATTCTGAATTCATTACAGTAGAATTCAGATGAGGTGACTTTGAGTAGCAAGCTACCAAACATTATGTGGGATGTTTGCAGCAATGATGAAGCTTCGTTTTGGTAACAGGTTTCTATGAACCCACATATTAAAATCATATAAAGTCACATACCAACTGATTTAACTAAGCACATGAAATGCAACATATATATGATCCAGGGAGAGGCACCAGCACACGTGAAGAAGTGGACAAGGCACAAGATTTTAGGGCCCTTGGACTTAAAATCAAGCATGTAACAGACATCCCTTCTCAGGGCACAAAGACGTAAGGAGGATTTTTCTTTAAACAGTCACAAGAAAGAGAAAGATCAAGACTGTGCCATAAGCTGAAACCCAGTAATTAAGTTCTTATTTAGATTTATCTGGGTAATTCCCATAATTTTGAGTTAAGCATTTTTTTATTTCCTTAAACTAGAAGAGTCACTAAAATAGGATTCGGCTTTTCTGTTAGTACCGTGGTCCCCCTTACCCGTGGTCTCGCTTTCCAAGCTTTCACTTACCCACAGTCAACCCAGGTCGACCACGGTCAGAAAGCAGATGATCCTCCTTCTGACACACCATCAGAAGGTCAAGAGCAGCCTAACACCAGGTGACGGTGCCTATATCTTTCCCTCACTTCATCGTGGCCCGTGGGCATTTTATCATTCCACATCATCACGGGAAGGGTGAGTGCAGTAGAGTAAGATGCTTTGAGAGAGACTGCATTCACAGAACTATTACAGTATATCATTATAATTGTTCTATTTATTATTGCTGTTAATTTCTTACTGAGCCTAACTTAGAAATGAAACTTTATCATGGGTATGTACGGATAGGAAAAAGCAGAATATATACAGTTTGGTGGTTATCTGTGCTTTCAGGCATCCACTGGAAGTCTTAGAACGTATCCCCTGTGGATACGGGGGGACACTACCATATGTTCAGATTTGAAGCCTGTGGAAATTCTGCCTCGGGCAATATTTTCTGGTAGGCCAGTACGCAGAATCAAGGCATGGGATCAGTGACTGCTAACATATAAGGAAAAGTAGTGCTCAGATGCTCGTAGTTGCTACTTGTCCCCACCCCCTTTTCTGCTGCCTAGTCTTCCTTTTAGCGCACATCAGCTGTGGTGTCTTCTCCAGGCACATACAAGTAACGTGCTTTACCGCATGCCTACCAGCTAGAAACCAGAGTAATTTTTATGTGTGGCTAATAAAAATCACTCTCATCACTTTATAGCCCACACTACCTACCACACGATGCTTTACTACAACATTTCATTCATCTGCTTACAATGTGTTACAGGGGATACGAGATGGAGATAATTTATCAGTGAAGAACTGTGTGTAGATGAAAACTTGGTAAAAATCCATCTTCAGCCTAAGCTCATTTGTGTAGTCCCAGGGCCTACCACCCTGTTTGGACAGAGGAAGCATTTCATAAACGTTCAGTTGTTCAAAAGCAAAATTACAAAGAAACCTGTTTGGACTTCAGCTCTTTCTACTTCCCCGAAACATAAGGAAAAGACCACCTTCACTGGGGATACGTATTTACATGGAAAGAAGAGTTAACTAGCGTGAACAAACTGGTCATGTGTTTTCATATAGAATGAACCAAAAGGGGATGACATATTTATAAAAAAGCTGCTTACCTTACAAACAGAAAGAACATTCACATTTATCAGTTTCTTGATAGTCTGTAAAAAAAAAATATATGGGTAATTTTATATACATCTGATCACGGAAGTAACCATATTAGATACATTTCTCTCTATAGATCTAGCAAATCTCTAGAAGTTTTCCCAGACAGAGTAGACACACTGGAAGATGGCAGTAGTTGGGGTAGAAACGCAGATTTTATTTTACTCTCAGTGTTACAATACTTTCCTACCAAAAGCAGCAATTCATGCTAAAATGCAAAACCCAGGGTAAATATGCAAGTAAAATCTGGGAGCAAAAGACACTAAGTCTAAAAGAAATGTTATTTTCTTACTGCTAATATTAAAGGGAGAAGTTATTGAATCTAAGATTTTCAACATTTTTTTTTAATTCACAATTCCTTCTTTTCTAATTTTTATTATGCTTTTCTAATTTTTATTAAAGAATTATGCATGGGGGCGCCTGGGTGGCTCAGTCGGTCAAACGTCCAACTCTTGATTTCAACTCAGGTCGTGATCTCACAGTTTGTGAGTTTGAGCCCCATATCAGGCTCTGCGCAGACAGTGCAGCCTGCTTGGGATTCTTTCTCACCCTCTCTCTCTGCCTCTTCACCCCCCCCCCACTCTCTCTTAAAAATAAACAAACATTTATGGGGCGCCTGGGTGGCTTAGTCGGTTAAGCGTCTGACTTTCGCTTAGGTCATGATCTCGCGGTTCGTGGGTTCGAGCCCCGCGTCGGGCTATGTGCTGACTGCCAGCTCAGAGCCTGGAGCCTGTTTCAGTCTGTGACTCCCTTTCTCTCTGACCCTCCCCTGTTCACGTTGTCTCTCTCTCTCTCCTAGAAATAAATAAAAATATTTAAAAAAAAAATAAATAAACAAACATTTTTTAAAAAAGGATTTATGCGTGCCTCAAGAATACAGCTTTCACTTTGGTAAGTTTACCTGAATCAACCATATTGTTATACATTAACATATTTATGACTTCTAAATTGATATGTAGAATCCTGATACTTAAAACAGAGCTATTTTGATATAATAAAAATAGAAATAAGGGTAACAAAATGAGTTACTATTGAACCTTGTACTATACTAAAGAAGCTATAAACATTTTCTCATTCAATCCTTCTAAGATTCCTACAAAGGGCCTAGTTTGTTGATGTGTGAATGGACACGAATTCTGTGGATATGGGATGGTTGGGATCATACCCAGGGTAACTCAGGGAACAAGAAGGGCCACAGTGTGAACCCTTTTACCACACCGCCTTGCCAATACTCATATGCTTTCTTTTTGTTACCATACTATTTAAAAAAAGACTTACACTGTCCAAGTCAGGAACGTCCAGAAAGTATTCAGGATACCCATATGACATTCCCACATTGTTCACTGAAATAAGACAAGATCATTAGCTGGCTGACAAAAACTATATTTTATAGATTTGTTGAAATAATGAGATAATATCGAGGCTAAAGTGATAGATACAATGACCTCAAATACTGTTTATGACTGGAGTGATCTTTCCCACACTTTTCCATCCAAAATCTACCAGTGTTTGTATAGTTCAAATGTCTTCTTCATTAAGCCCTTCCTGAACCTACCATCTAACCCCTGATAAAGGGACTTTCTCTTTGCTTTCATTTCCATAGCCCCTTGGAGTGTATTCTGCCTGTGGGATAGTTATTTGTAGATCTTGCTTGACCCCTCTCTAGACTGACCTTCTCATAATGGAGTAGAAAGAGTGATGAATACTGCAGTGTAGGGGACCAGAAACCTGCATTCTACCAGAAACAGAAAACGTGTGACTGGGGCTGAGTCACGTATGAGATGCATCTCGGTTTCTTCATGTCTAACAGGAGAGCTTGTTTTATCATTCAACAAGTATCTGCCATGTGCCTATGTATAAGACACGCACTAGAAACTAGAAACACCAGAAAGAAAAAGACAATTTCTGGCATTACAGTGCATACTATGTTGTAGGAAGAGAAAGGCACTGAACACAAAGAATAAAACATTTATTTCAGGGGCGCCTGGGTGGCTAAGTCGGTTAAGCTTCCCACTTCAGCTCAGGTCATGATCTCGCGGTTCATGGGTTCAAGCCCTGTGTTGGGCTCTGTGTTGACAGCTCGGAGCCTGGAGGCTGCTTCAGATTCTGTGTCTCCCTCTCTCTCTGACCATCTCCCTCCCACGCTCTGTCTCTGTCTCTGTCTCTCAAGAATAAATAAACGTTAAAAAAAAATTTTTTAATAAAAATCATTTATTTCGTTACCAAGTATACTGTGCCATGGGAGCCTGACATCACCTAGCTAGTGAGGGAAGGCTTCTTGGTGGAGGCCAAGAAAGTAGTTTCACTACTTCATGTCTCCAATGAACCATCCATCCCTACCAGACCATAAGCCTTGAAAATCAAGATCATGTCCTTCCTCAGTCACTTCACCTACGGTTGGGACTGCAGGACAACTGAGAAGCCAAGAAGAAATTTACATACAATTAGGTACATGATTAATACTCAGATATTCTATGGTTCTCCCTAGCTCTGGAAAGACAAATCCAGAATAAGGAACATTTGCAGGAATTTAAAAAAAAAAAAAACATAAAGTATCTTGGACTTTATTTTAGTTAACAATGAAATGGAGAATCTCTACATTTAGTCCCCGCAATAAGTCTTCTAGGGAGTTCCTATTACTATCTCCCTTTTCCATAGTAGGAAACTAAAGTTCACAGCTGTTAGATAACTTGCCAAAGGACACAGAGCAAAGTAAGGCTGGGACTCCAACTCTGGAAATTTGACTTCAGAAGCTGGGCTCTTAACCGCCACATTAAAGCTACATATGCCTTCACCCGGTATTCACTTCAGAAAAAAAAAATATCAGTATTAATTGGATAAAAAACAGAAATCTGGTAGTCATGATTAATAAAACTGGAGTATTAGAAAAGAAAGTTTTCAGTAGCAAAAAGATGGTGAAATTACAGTCAGTCTGCTAAAACTTAGAAGGCACTGTTGCCAAATAAACCTGATAGTAGTAACAGTAACTATTTCAATAGACTAACAAAATTAGTGGTTCGAAATAACTCAAAAAGAGTTCTATATTTAGCAATAAGCCAGTCACTTGAGGCTGTGAGTCTCAAGATTTTACCTGCACAACTTGATCAGGACGGACTTAACAAGATCACTGAAAATTATCTGAAAATCAGAAAGCAAAGGACAATGGCAAAGCAAACTACTTAATTACAATTTATGCTCTTGTGAACAAGGATTATACCTAAACATAATTAATAATCACAGGACCAAATCCATTTTTAATTTATTTAACAGGTTCTCTACCCACCAGAGGTTCAAGGAAGAGGTTCTACACAAACCTTTAACAATTAAGGCTAAACTAGTTAAAGATGAGGCATTATGTTCCCTTGACTTTGCTTTACCCATGGATAGAATTATAAAGAATGAATAACTCACAGCCTAAGAGCAACAACAACTAAAGTATCTGTTAAAATGCTACAAATAAATATCTGTTACAAAGCCAGCTTAAAATAATCTTCAAGGAAAGGTTTTGCCAAATTTCAATGTTCTTCAGGACTGAAGAAAAATTCTCTCATTTACAGCCAGTTCCATCTCCCTTCACCCTCCTGGGTCTAGAAAACTTTGTTTTCTTCCTAATCAATGGAAATATTAATGCTCTATTTCAAAGTGCTGAAGAAAACGAGATAGTGTAATTATAAATCTTTTATTTACATTTTTTAAAGAGTTGATGCTTTTTTAAAAGTGTATTTATTTATTTTGAGAGTGTGTGTGTGCACATGCATGAGAAAGGGAGGGGCAGAGAGAATCCCAAGCAGGTTCCATGCTGTCAGCATGGAGCTTGATGTGGGGCACCATCTCTTGAATTATGAGATCATGACCTGGGCTGAAACAAAGAGTCAGATGCTTAACCAACTGAGCCACCCAGGCGCCCCTAAATCTTTTAAAATCCAGATTGTGTGTGTGCATGTGTGTGTGTGTGTGTGTGTATGTGTTTTAACCTGGGAACTCCATAAGCAGTACACTTGATTTAGTAATCTCAACATGTACTGCAAGTACAAAGTTGAGCTAAGGAAGTCCACAAAAAACTAAGCATGCAGGGAAATGTCGCTCTGATTAAGGCACTAACAATGGACAATCTTTAGATCTGTTTCTAGTTGAGCAAAGGGAGCCATCAAAACTACATACTCACACAATGAAACTGTGAACATTTATTTAATATAGTTCTAAGAGAAAACATGTTTGGGGCACCTGGGTGGCTCAGTTGGCTGAGCGTCCGACTTCAGCTCAGGTCATGATCTCGTGGTGCGAGGGTTTGAGCCCTGTGTCAGGCTCCGTGCTGACAGCTCAGAGCCTGGAGCCTGCTTCAGTTTCTGTGTCTCCCTCTCTGCCCCTCCCACATTCATGCTCTGTCTCCCTCTCTCTCTGCCCCTCCCACACTCATGCTCTGTCTCACTCTCTCTCAAAAATAAATAAGCATTAAAAATTAAAAAATAAATAAATAAAAAGGAACATGTTCAACACTTTAGCCCAAAGAAATAAATAGAATCATGTATAAGGGCCATGTTATTATAACCAAAAATACACAGAGAAAAAAATGTTAAAGCTAGAATAGATCTTTCAGAGCATTAAGCCCAATTTTATGAGGGGAAGTACATTACAAGGTCAGGCTGGCAATTTGTTCTATACCAAGGCTTAGGACTCTAAAATCCCTGCCTGTTTTGTTAGTTGAGCCTTTTGCTTGTGAAATATACACTAACCACAATCTCTCCACGGTTGGTAATCACTTTAGAGTGCTATTATTTAAGAGCACAGAGAAAAACAACTGTTGCTTTCAAATAGCTATTTCCATAAACTGCACAACAGTGCAAATCTTTTCAAAAAGGCAACCCCATTGCAATTTTATTTTGAGACATTAGGTGGCAGCAATAACCAAACAGCAGGAGGAAAGCTTTCAGGGAATTGGAAAAGGAAGAAAACAGGCTTTGGGTAGGAGTGAAGGATGGAAATATTTCCATTATAATGTAATCTCATTAAGAATGAGTGTGTGCAATGCCATCTCTATATATTGTAGGATTCATTCTAGAATTCACCAAACTAAACAGTGCTGCAAAGTTGTTCCAACAGTATTCAGATAGTTGAAAATCCCTTCTAAATGGTAGCATTTTAAATTGGCATTAAACATCTGTTTATTAGTCACGGTCGTTTTTGCTGTTGTTGTTGTTATTGTTGCTTTCTTAATTCTTCAGGTAAGACACCAGAGACAAATTTAAAATTATTTATTCAGTGACCCACAAAAGCCCCTCCATCACTAAAAGACACAGTGTCTTTCCGAAAACAAAGGATGCCCATGTAATCTCGGAATTCCAACCAGGACTTCAACAATCACCAGGGGATCATGAATAGATATAAAATCTTTCCCATGAGCTTCTCATTGGAATGTTAAGATAAGAACAGTTCAAGAGAAGAGATGAGGCAAACAGAACAGAGGTCACAAAAGACCAAGAACAAGGGCAAGGTAAGTGGACAAAGAAGGATGTGGGTGGTGGGGGGGGGGGGGGGGNGGGGGGAAGGAGCAATATGAAAGGAGACCGGCCCTCCCCGGGAGGAACAGTCAATGGCTCCCCGCTTAGCAGTGCCCTCCCACACCTCCCATGCAGAACTTCTGAAAACACCAATACTGTCCAGAGTAATTCTGAAGCATTATGTAGATATTCTGTATGATATGATTGCTAAAAATCACTTCCACATCTCTCACACTTAAAATGAACATACACAAGATTTGTTTCTTCTCAATTCATTTGCCGCTGTTTCTGACCTTACCAGACCTAGAATCGTTTATTTAAGCCAGCTGCTTTTGAGATGATGACATCATTAGAAAATCAGATATTTGGTATCTGGGTTGGGCATGAGGGAGGAGCAAACAATAAATTACTAGAAAATAAAAATCCAGGGCGCCTGGGTGGCTCAGTCGGTTAAGTGTCTGATTTCGGCTCAGGTCACGATCTCACGTTTCATGGGTTCAAGCCCCAAGTCGGGCTCTGTGCTGACAGCTAGCTCAGAGCCTGGAGCCTGTTTCAGATTCTGTATCTTCCTCTCTCTCTGACCCTCCCCTGCTCATGCTGTATCTCTCTCTCTCTCTCTCTCTCAGAAATAAATAAAACATTAAAAAAAAATTTTTTTAAATCCACTTGAAGAAACACAGCAATAACTACAGGCGACCACACACAGAACACCTTCAACCTGCTTTTTCTAGATTAATCTGAGGCTTAAGAAATTAAGGTGGTATAAAAATACTTCGTCTAATGGTTGGGCTTCCCAATAGATGTCAAGTAATGAATATTCCCGATTTTCCACTCACCATATCAAA